CACCTACATATACATGTATATATATATACACACACACACACACGCACCAAGTTGTCTGCGTTTTGTTTGTCGTATCTGCGCTACTATTCGAGCTGTCTGTACATCGTGTGGTTGTTAGCATTCCGAAAGCACACGCGCTCTGACAGAATCCCGCTTGACACAGCTACTTTTGTTTCTACACACCTCCCTGAAGGGCGGCGGTGTTGTCCTGAAGGGCGGCGAGGTAGTGGCTGAAAAGCTTGAGCTCAAGTACATGCTGAAGGACTGTGGTTAGAGATTCGGGCTTTAGGGCTTTTGGTTCGAGCTTTCTGTGTAGTCTTTAGGCATATAGGTCAAAGGCTTCAAAGAGAGCGCGGCCAACCATCGTTGTGGCCGATTGCTGCAGTAATTCACAAGATTTCTGTCTCCTGTTCTTGCTCTCAGGAAGATTTCGTGGAGTTCCTCCCGGCCACTTCGACTGCATATTTCTTCTCTTCGGGTTTGCGGACTTCCCTAGTGCGCAGCGAACCACTGTGTTCTACAGATGCCCATCGTGCAGGCTATCCCCATCAACACCTGCAACGCAAAGCGGGTTCTGGATGTGCTTCTGCAGGGCTTTGATTTCGAAGTTCCAAGTGCCAAAGCTTTCTGGCAGCTTTCACTGCACTGTTATCCGAGTGCTACCTGGTTTCGAGAGTGGCAATGTACTGATCCCTCAGCTGTCGCGTCGCTGACACATGTTTGAGCCAGGGGTCCTGTCTATCAGTCTATCCGTGGTCGAACCTAGTTGTTGCAAACATCCCACACCATGCCAACGCATCCGTTCTTCATGTCGACGCTATGACCTCTGAAGCGAGCTTGGATTACTGCATTCTTGTTGTGGCGCAAGATTCTCACGTCAGCAGCAAACCATATACAGCTGCTCCGTGTGGTGCTACACTTCAGATGCGGGATTGCAGTGGGAGATTCTTCTCGAGAGCAAGGTGAAGTTATCTGATGTTAGACATGGAAGAGTGGCTCAATTTCAACAGGTGCAGTAAGTAATTTCACCCTACTGACCCTGCAATCTCTCGAACCCTGAACCGTAAAAGAGAGACCGACCCTGCACACTGAGGCTCCGAGTGTTCTTCAGTCTGGTTACAGCTTTTGCTGAAGCTGGCAGTAGCACGTAGTTCAGAGACACAGCTCAGGAGGCGACGAAAGAGCCGAAGGTGGTCACGGTCAGTGAGGAGGATGAGCTCAAGGCACGTTGGGGGACCGGGGACAGGGTTTCGGGGTTGGGGCTTGACATGGATTTGGGTTTGTTTCCTGAGGTTCGTGGGTTCAGGAAGATCACTTTAAGCTGTAGGACTCCAAGGTGCATCAAGCTACCAAGCAGCTACCAGCACCAAGCACTCCCCAAAACATCCAAAACAACACTGTGAACAACGTAAACAAGTTGCTTCGTTGTGTTGAGCGCGTGAGTATGTGTACGACATTACATACGCAAATACATACAAACATAGATACGTACATGCATAGATACACGCGTGCGTATGTCCTGAAATAAGCACGAGTAAAGTAGAGCTTTCCTGCTCGTCGTCGCAAAATGTTGGGGTTAAACCCAACTCAGCAAGATGAGCCTCAAGCCCGCATTCTTCCATCAGCAGCTGCCACTCAAGATTGTGGTTTAGGGCTAGGGGTGCAGGCCTTGGGTTTCAGGTTGAGTGTCGCGTGCCGATCTCATGAGGGATGGAAAAACTGCTGCCCGGGCTTGTTGCGTTGCCAAGTTCGTTTCTGAAGCTCATTCGATCTCATTCGGGTCTTCTAGGAATCCTCGTCATTATTGCCAAATCCGTCAAGAACATGGTTTCATCCAGCATTCTTTCCTTTCAAGATGTGCTGTGCTGCTTCTGTTGACCTCTTGCTGATTTACATCTTTGGTTGGCCTCACTTTTGTTTTGTGTCGGTCTGATGTTCGTCTGGCTTTTTCAGGTCGTCGGTATAGTAGCAGGTCTCGTCGTCGTGGTCGTCGCCGCCGCATGCTAGTTGTTGCGGTCGTGGTGCTGAGTAGTAGAGTCATCAAAGTTGTAGATGCCGCAGCAGTAGAAGGAGACGTTGGCAATATCTGACAGATATTTCTATAATCTCAATTTTGAATCAAGGCCTTCAATGCAATCGCTTCCAAGGACGCTTTGATGCACGACCTGACTTCGGCACAGAAAGATGTAGGTGCGGTAAATGAGAGATACCGGTCGGAAGCATCACGCGAGCCCACTGTATGCGTTTGTCAGATGTGGGATCCCTTCATCGACGCCCAATGTGAGCATACCACCTCTCCCTCTCCAAGACTTCAAATCAGACAACGCGCTTCCACATGATGTTACATATACAGAGCAATACTCAACTTCAATGCGAGATCAGAGCTTCCAAAATCCGACGGAAAGTCTTGAAGCCGGTCCAGCTGTCCCAGCAAGGCTATTGAGTTAGCCGCTCGGGAGAACTTGGACAGGCCGCTGGGCTGCAAATCCCTCACGCTCCTGCGTCGTAAGGATTGATAACCCTCGAACCTAACCTAACCTAACCTAACCTCGCTGACGTATTCTTTAGCATAGGGCTTGCCAGCAGCGGCGTCGTACGGCTTCATGTTCTATTCTGTTTCCAGGGCTGGAAGGGCTCATCGTGGAGATGTAGGTGCAGCGAAAGCGCCCCGAAAGTCTTGTGGTGTGTTCAGCCTAGCCTTTGCAGTCTACCAAACCCCACACACTACTCTTTTTGCGAAGGTGTGAGAACTTTACTTTTGCAGTACGCTGGCAGCCACTTACACATACAAGCCCATCAAGAAACAGGAGCTCGCGACACACCGGTTATGTTGACTTGAATGTTTTGCTGGACAGTGTTGTTGGGTGTTGTGTGGGTGAGCCCTTTGCTGCCGACCCGCCCCATCGTCCGAGTCGCGAGAGTCCAAACCCCAAAAAGATTCTGAAGAGGAGCCTGTGCAAGACTTTGTGGACACATTGCAACCTCGCTCGTAGGCATGGACTCAAAAGCAAGGCGAGAGGGAAAAACAAAAAAGCTCTGAAGCCCCAGAGGGAAAGGTCTCCAAGACAAGCCAAGACATCAGTATTTTTCCTGTTTCTTTTCAGAGAGCTTGGCAGAGCTGGAAGGTGCCCCATCCCATGCTCTCCTAAAACCTAGAATTCCTCGGGGTCCGGTTATAAGCCTGAGCCTCTGAACCCTGTCCTGAGCCCTGAGACCCGGGCTGTACAGCTTTTCCTTAATCCAGAGGTTTGAACAGGAGAGGAATTGTCTTCTTCCTAATTACTATGTTGATATGACTACTGAGAGGGGGTCCGGGGTGTATGGCATCATGTGCTGCTGTCGCATGTTCTCCTGAAGCAGATTAAACTTTCCTTATAGCGTACTTTTTGTACGAGAGCATGATGGTTTTGTCTCGCGTGTTTTTTTTCTGATTTTCGAGGCTGATGACGCTGGCGCCGGAGATTGGCAAGCTCAAGGCCGCGCTTCTTTTCAGGGTTTAGGGTTGAGGGAGGGACAGCGCAGGCTGTATCCGACTTTATCCAGCCCCATTCAGTCAAAAGAGGCTGAGAACCCCATGCCGTCGACGTAACCACTGCACACTGAACTTTAGCAAGACTTGCAGGGCCCAGATAGCTCAGAATGTCTCAGATCCTTTCAGACCCTGCGAAACTGTGACTCCAGAGGTACCCATAGAGGAGTCAGACAGACCTGGTGTGCCGGATGGGGCGTACTGAGGGACAGAAAATGCCAGACAAAGTGGGAGGGACTGTCATCGGAGGCCTGGGGGGATGTCGCTCATTCGCCCATTAATCACTGCAACGAAGATCGAAATTTCATTTTGATGGAAAAACGATGCAAAGAACTCTTACAAGATGTCAGAGGGGTCCTTGGAAAGGACGGAAGCACCAAACGATGTGCTTCTGGCGACGAGCTCTGCCATGCTTCTCTCAAGCCTAGAATTGCATGTGCTGTCACAACATTCGCTGAGTCGCTGACTAGCACTTTAACAACAGTTGGAGATCAACTGCTCTCATAAACGTGCTTCGCAGCAGAAGACTAGCCTCGAAAGCTCCAGCCAAACGAAACGCAGGTTGCATCATTCACGTTGGTAGCACGAGTGTTGTGCTTGATCTCGTGAGACCCGTTGTCGTGCTTCCTCAGCTAGCGATGTGGATTGCGAGGCTCGAAGCCCGACATACATACCCCAATGTCTCCACCACGGCCCACATTCTGCATGGGGTTCGTCCGAGTGTTACAATGTTTATCGAAAGTTTAACGACTTTGCGAGTAAGGATGTAAGATTCATCTTTGGAACTTGGAACTAACTTTGAAATGCAGGCCCACTACGCCGAGAAGGGCCTTGAGAAGCCAGAAATTGTCATTGGGAGACCGTCCGAAGCGCTGCAGGACGTCTGCGGGGTTTCAGGTTTTAGATGGCTTTAGGTTTTGGGTGTGAAAGTTTGGGGTGCTTGGTTCCCAGCTTCCGCCTGTAGCATTCGAGGTTTGAGAATTTGGGGCCTTGGAGGTTAGGTTCGGGCAGTATCTGATGGATGCCATGATCCGCATGACTGTTGGTGCCGGTAGGGACGAAGCATTGCATGGGGCAGGGTGCCGGTGGAAGGGGGGGGGGGGTTGGTGACTGCGGCCCTGGATCACTAATGGATTAATAGATTGTTATTAATTGATAAAAATGGTTAGCATCGAAACTTTTTACATCTATACACATCTACACACACACATATACATATAATAATGCATGTTTATTTAATCAACCTTCATAGCGAGGTCCTTAGTGCCAGCGTATTGCGCCTTTCATGCGTGTGAAGAAAGATGAGACGCGGAAGAAGTGCTCAGACATATCTTTGCTTTTCCAGCAGGTGTTCTCCGAGCTTTTTCCCGAGTACGTGAGACTCGGCGGGTGTGTCGCCGAAGCCTGATCCGGGGTTTTGGCTGTGGGAATGCTTGGACAAAGCACGGCTGAACTTATCCGTCCAAACACCTAGCTGGATCTTGATTTGCAGATGACGTGCCGAGCATCCCTGCGTTGCTTGCAGCCCATTGCTTCGCTCTGTACCTGCGCAAGAAAAAGGACAGAAGTAAACGCTCGCCCTGCTTGGCAATCGCAGTTCTTCAGAGCTTCTCTTCATCGCAGATCTGCGTCTCCAATCTCTCCAGCACATAGCGAGAGGTCGACATCCCGAAAGATCCAATCGGTATAAGCCCCACGACTTTTCCGGGTTTTTGTAGGCTCCCTGAACCTTCATCCCTAAGCCAAGCCCCCAACTAAGCCTTGATGTCCGTTGTGAGAGCTTGATTGGGGATCCTATTCTTCAGGAGAGGAACCTCTCATAGAAGCTCAGGAAAGGAACTTGGGTTTAGGGGCGGCTTAAGTGCAATTCAGGTTTTAGGGCCTAGGGCTTTTGAGGCTGTGGGCTTGCAGAGTTCAGTAGGTCTGAAGTGTAACGCAGGGTGGTCTGTGGTCTGGTGGTCGATTCATAGACAGCCGAGCCGATTAAGCACCCTTCGACCCTCGACTTTGGAGCCTATACCCGTAAGCCCGAAGTTCCTTATCCAAGAAAAAAGAAACGAATATCCACCCTAAACCCTTCAGCCTATGCCTAAGCCTCCCCCTAAAGAGTCAACCACCTAACTAAACCCGTGTGCCTTTACCCCTAAGCCCGAGGGATTTTTCATTCCTCATAAAGCCATGTCGGACTCAGCCATATGCTGCACGGAGCTCGAGCTTCGGAAAGCTCTGGAGGCCAAGGGAACTGTAAGTGTAGTCCGTGTACCTTTCTAAGAGTATTCATCTAGACCGGAGAAGTTTCCTATCAGAGGCTACGTTAACGTCAGATAATATATGCTTTATGCGGACATGGACGGGCTTATAGAGTTCAGGGGTTTCGTGTTTGGTTTTTCAGAGTAATCTCGTTACAAGGGTTAGGGCATATTGTGACTGGCAAATGCTGCACCCTTCTCTCTGCTGCAAAAAATGAGATTGCTCCAGTACATGCTGTGTCTTATTGGTTTCGAAACAAAAACATATCGCACGTATAGTTAAGACCCCATGTTCGCTTTCTTCGCAGACAGTTTCTGGCCTAGGACACCCTAGATGGGTAAGACAGGTGCTGTTGCCGTTGCTTCTTTAGGGCCGTGCAGTGACCCATCGAAATCCATTGTGCATCCTCCCTCGCAGGACGAGGGATGCCGGAAGCTTGTCTTGAAGGGTGCAAACCTTGCAGCTGACGCGGTGGAGGCCTTTTCGGTCGTCCGGGGGGGCGGGGTTCGCTCCAGGTGTTTGGAGCTCAGGAAGAAGCAGATATTAGCAATAAAAACAATAATAATATTAATGGTTTAGTAAGTAAAAGAAGTATGATATATATATATACACACACATACATACATACATACATACATATATACATACATGTATACATACATACATACATACATACAT